GCAAAAAAAAGAAAATAATATTTGGAAACCTGCCTAGAGAGGTATAGACACTGGCTGTTTGGAGACTGAATTTTTTTAAATTTTATTAATAAATATAAATTTCCAAAGTACAACTTTTGGATTATAGCAGCTTTTTCCCCCCATAACCACCCTCCCACCCACAACCATCCCATCTCCCACTCCCTCTCCCATCCCATTCACATCAAGATTCATTTTCAATTCTCTTTATATACAGAAGATCAATTTAGCATATATTAAGTAAAGATTTCAACAGTTTGCACCCACACAGAAACACAAAGTGTAAAGTACTGTTTGAGCACTAGTTATAGCATTAAATCACAATGTACAACACATTAAGGACAGAGATCCTACATGAGGAGTAAGTGCACAGTGACTCCTGTTGTTGACTTTACAAATTGACACTCTTATTTATAACATCAGTAATCACCCTAGGCTCTTGTCTTGAGCTGCCAAGGCTATGGAAGCCTCTTGAGTTCGCCAACTCCGATCTTATTTAGACAAGGTCATAGTCAAAGTGGAAGTTCTCTCCTCCCTTCAGAGAAAGTTACCTCCTTTGATGGCCCAGTTCTTTCTGCTGGGATCTCACAGAGATCTTTCATTTAGGCTTTTTTTTTTTTTTTTTTTTTTTTTTTTTTTGCCAGAGTGTCTTGGATTTCCATGCCTGAAATACTCTCATGGGCTTTTTAGCCAGACCCGAATGCCTTAAGGGCTGATTCTGAGGCCAGAGTTCTGTTTAGGACATCTGCCATTCTATGGGTCTGCTGTGTATCCCGCTTCCCATGTTGGATTGTTCTCTCGTTTTTAATTTTCTCAGTATTTTCAGACACTAGTCTTGTTTATGTGATCTCTGTGACTCTTAGTACTATCATTATGATCAATTGTGAACAGAAATTGATCACTTGGACTAGTGAGATGGCACTGGTACATGCCACCTTGATGGGATTGAATTGGAATCCCCTGGCATGTTTCTAACTCTACCATTAGGGATAAGTACGACTGAGTATATGCCAATCTGTACATCTCCTCTCTCTCTTATTCCCACTCTTATATTTAACAGGGATCACTTTTCAGTTAAATTTAAACACCTAAGAATAATTGTGTTAATTAAAGAGTTCAACCAATGATATTAAGTAGAACAAAAAAATACTAAAAGGAATAAAGTAGTAAGTTGTTCTCGATAGTCAGGACAAGGGCTGATCAAGTCACTGTTTCTCATAGTGTCCATTTCACTTCAACAGGTTTCCTTTTAGGTGCTCAGTTAGTTGTCACCATGCATCTTTTAAGAAAAGATAAATCTGAATATCATACTATCAGGGAGAGTGGGACATAGCAAACCAAAGTTGGACAGAGAGGGGCAGTGGTGCCAAACACGGGCTTGAACTAATTCTTCCTTTGGTACTAGGAGTCTCACAGCTTTGCACTGCTGATGTCCACTGCCCAAAATGAAAACCTTCCTTGAGCATGAATTCCCTTCACCTTGCTACGCCCATGGGAGGTCATTCAGCTAAAGCAATATTAATAAATGGTTCACCACATAGTAGCACTTAGATGAGCAATTAATAGTGTATTTTAAATAAGTGGTTCCAGTTGTACACAGAGACCAGTTTATGCATTAACAATGAAGGTAATAGGGCTGGCACTGTGGCACGGTGGGTTAACACCCTGGCTTGAAGTGCCGGCATCCCATATGGGAGTTGGTTCGAGACCCAGCTGCTCCACTTCCGATCCAGCTCTCTGCTGTGGCCTGGGAAGGCAGTGGAAGATGACCCAAGTCCTTGGGCCCTGCACCCATGTGTGAGACCTGGAAGAAGCTCCTGGCTCCTGGCTTCAGATCAGCCAATGGTTGCGGCCATTTGGGGAGTGAACCATCAGATAGAAAACCTCTCTCTCTCTCTCTCCCTCTCTCTCTCTCTCTCTCTGTGCCCCTCCTCTCTCTGTATAACTCTGAATATCAAATAAATAAATAAAAATCTTAAAAAAAAAATGAAGGCGGATAGGCAGCAAGTCCTTTGAATTAAACCAGTGGTGGGATAGAAGAATATGAATAACCTCCTGGATGTCTCTAATGGCTTTCAAGCCATATAGAGAGTAGAATGCTCACAAACAAAATTTTACACAGAACTATAATATACTGTATAGATAACAGGGGATCTGTTCTTATTGGGATGGGGAGCTGGCTTAAGGAACAAATTGTAACATATTAACAGTCCGCACACACCTGATGCTACTGCAATCACACTGTGGTCCTCAAATAACACTACCAAATTAGACCACTTCAGTGCTGATAAACAAGAGTCCCATGTGCTTCAGGGACTAAAATTAACCGCAGTATTTCTTTAAAATTACAGGTTGTCCATGACAAATATTGACTATCCTCTCAGATCAAAGTATGCTGTACCCTAGAAAACCCATAAACTGTTCACACAAATTAGCAGGTATATTTTAATAAACTCACCAGATCTAATTCATTCAAATGAGTGTCCTCATTTGAAGCAGTTGCCCTTGGAGTAACAATCAAACATTTATCTAACACTTTCTGTGTGCCACACCCTCTTTTATGTTCTTCACATAGATGAACATCTTAAATTCTTATTATAACTCTACCAAGTAAGAACTGTGATTATACACATTTCCAGACAAGAAAACTCAATGAAATGCAGACTTAAGTGATTTACATCAGATTAAACAGCTAGAGATTACAATAGCTGAGATGGTAACCCAGGCAGACTAGCTCTCTGCTCTCCTGACCAATTCTTTGTAGAAGCTGTAAATTTATTTTAAAGATGCTATCATTTTCCAAATTGAGTTTTGGAATTCTATTTTAGGATTGTGTTAAATTGACAACACAACCCATGTCAATAATTGGGAATAGAGCATTTTTTTTATTCACAAACTGGTGTTCAAATCATATGGCACAATTTCAACCTCAAGAAATGAAACCTTAGGAAAATAGAAATGATTGATACAATTATGCTACAGAGAAAACACCAGTACCTGATTGTGTTGGCGCAGTGAAAAGAAACTGAGCACAAACAGTCCTGTTCCAGGCTGGAAACCACACCCCTAAATTCACATGCCCCGGTACACTTCAGAATGTGACTACCTGGAGATAAGGCTTTTGAAAGAAGTAATTAAATTAAAAGCAGGTAATTTGGTGGACCTAATCCAAATAACTGGTATCCTTATGAGAGGAGGTTAGAACCAGTCACACAGAGGGGAAGCCAGGTGAGGACTCAGGGAGAAGACAGCCACCTGCTAGTCAAGGAGAAAGGCCTTAGAAGGAACCAGACCTGCTCACACCACAGTCTCAGTTTCCAGCCTCTAGAACTGTGAGAGACTAATTTTTGTTGTTCCAACAGAAGATCCCACACAATTGGGAGACCAAGAGCTGCTGCAGCAGCAGACATGTGCACAATGGAAACTTTCTTGTCCACAGCTCAAGAGCCATGCATTAAGAATAGTGGCTACAGCAAAGTTGTATGTGACAAGACGGCTGACAACAGCAAAACAAAACAGTATTACTGGGTTAGTCCAGGAGCTCACAACTGCCTTAGCTTAGGTTACGAATGAAATGGGATTCCCTTAAGCACTCCTACAATACTGTAAAAAGAATGCTGCCCCTGGTGCAACTTCAGCTTTGCAAAGGACAGATGGCTCTTCAGCAGTGACTAGAAGGGAAAACCAGTGACTCGCTTCAGATGGTGCGAATCAGAGCTTGCTGAGGGCCAGAACAAGGCATTCTGAAGGAGGATGCAGCCAGGCAATTTTGGCTCAATGCCTTGGAAGTAAGAAACTGCGGCAAGGACGACTGGGTCAAGCGAAGAACCACCTCCACCGCTGCCATTTGGCACCAAGCTATGGCACCTCTCCTCTGCAATGCTGCAACCGCCTCTCAACTGTTCTCTTGCGTTCACCCTCGCCATCTGGAGTCTCCTCCAGACCACCCAAGGGGAGCCTCCACAAGCGCGTCACACAAGCTCACAACCCTGCTCCAACACACCCAGCTAATTCAAGTCCACAGGATGGCTGTGACCCTTCTCCCATCACATTTCTGACCTCCTGTCCTGCACCTCCCTTCCCTCTGGCCATAGAGGCCTCCTGAAGCTGCTGCTATCTGTCGCAGCTGGCAAAGGCTCCTCCCATGCCCCGGCAGAACACACAAGACCAACTCCCTCTCACCTTCAAGTTTTTGCTCACATCTGACCCTCTCAGGTTGGTCTTACAACTGCACATTCCATACACTCTCCTCTTTTTGCCCCTATTAATCTATCATTTGGTTATTATGTTTATTGTTTATTTCTGCCTTCTGCCACCAGAAGGCAAGTTCCATTAGGGCAAGCATTTTTTATGGAGAAGGGCTGGGTATGTAGCAGGCATCTAATCTATATTTGCTTGATGAATGATGCTCACATTCTTGCTTTCTAAGAAATAAATGGGGCCGGCGCCGCGGCTCACTAGGCTAATCCTCCGCCTAGCGGCGCCGGCACACCGGGTTCTAGTCCCGGTCGGGGCGCCGGATTCTGTCCCGGTTGCCCCTCTTCCAGGCCAGCCCTCTGCTGTGGCCAAGGGAGTGCAGTGGAGGATGGCCCAGGTGCTTGGGCCCTGCACCCCATGGGAGACCAGGAGAAGCACCTGGCTCCTGGCTCCTGCCATCGGATCAGCGCGATGCGCCGGCCGCAGCGCGCCGGCCGCGGCGGCCATTGGAGGGTGAACCAACGGCAAAGGAAGACCTTTCTCTCTGTCTCTCTCTCTCACTGTCCACTCTGCCTGTCAAAAAAAAAATAAAAAAAAATAAATAAAATAAAAAAAATAAAAAAAAAAAAAAGAAAGAAATGGGTCAGGGAGCATCCTCACCTGTAACAGAGTCATACTCAAGTCACAGGCTGGTGAGTAGCTCCCTCTTTTAGCCCACTTCCCACCAGGGTGTATAACAGTGTGACTTGGGGTGGAGCCTTGCATGAAAGAGAAAGAGAACTTACAAACTTGTAGCTAATGTCAGAAGGTAGATCTCTTCCCCTCTTAGAAGTCTTCTTTTGGTCTTTTTTTCCTTTTAGATGGTTTCTTTCATGGAACATTACTGGCTGAGTTGTGCCCAACAGCAAATTCCTATGTTGATGTCCTAACCATCCAGGCCTCTGAATGTCACTGTAATTGAAAACAGAGTCATTGCAAATGCAATTATTTATAAGTTAAGGTAAGCCCGATTGTAACATGAATGTTCTTATTAAAGGAGGAGATTTGGATTCAGAGATTTGCATAGAGGAAGCCCATGTGGAGACACAGGGAGATGGCCAACTGCAGGACAAGGAGAGAGGCTTGATACAGACCTTTTTCTAAGAGCCTTCAGCAGCAACTTAAGAGATGGGCCAAGGACCTCAACAGACATTTTTCAAAAGAGGAAATCCAAATGGCCAACAGACACATGAAAAAATGTTCAGGATCACTAGCAATCAGGGAAGTGCAAATCAAAACCACAATGACCATTGAAAACTGGCACCAGACAGGGATGCCCACTCTCACCATTGCTATTCAATATAGTCCTAGAAGTGTTAGCCAGAGCCATCAGGCAAGAAAAAGAAATTAGGCCGGCACCGCGGCTCACTAGGCTAATCCTCCGCCTTGCGGCGCCAGCACACCGGGTTCTAGTCCCGGTCGGGGCGCCGGATTCTGTCCTGGTTGCCCCTCTTCCAGGCCAGTTCTCTGCTGTGGCCAGGGAGTGCAGTGGAGGATGGCCCAAGTGCTTGGGCCTTGCACCCCATGGGAGACCAGGAGAAGTACCTGGCTCCTGCCATCGGATCAGCGCAGTGCGCCAGCCGCAGCACGCCGGCCACGGCGGCCATTGGAGGGTGAACCAACAGCAAGGTAAGACCTTTCTCTCTGTCTCTCTCTCTCACTGTCCACGCTGCCTGTCCAAAAAATAAATAAATAAATAAATAAATAAATAAATAAAATAAAAAAAGAAAGAAAAAAAGAAATTAAAGGTATACAAATGGGAAAGGAGGAAGTTAAACTATCCCTATTTGCAGATGACATGATACTATATATAGGGGACCCGATAAACTCCTATAAGAGACTACTGGAACTCATAGAAGAGTTTGGTAAAGTAGCAGGATACAAAGTCAACGCTCAGAAATCAATAGCCTTTGTATACACAGACAATGCCAGTGCCAAGGAAGAACTACTAAGATCAATCCCATTCACGATAGCCACAAAAACAATCAAGTACCTTGGAATAAATTTAACCAAGGAGGTCAAAGACCTCAATGATGAAAATTACAAAACACTAAAGAAAGAAATAGAAGACGACACAAAAAAATGGAAAAAACTGCCATGCTCATGGATTGGAAAAATCAATATCATCAAAATGTCCATTCTCCCAAAAGCAATTTACAAGTTCAATGCAATACCAATCAAAATACCAAAGTCATTCTTCAAAGACCTAGAAAAAACGATGCTGAAATTCATATGGAGAAACATGAGACCCAGAATAGCTAAAGCAATCCTTTACAATAAAAACAAGGCTGGAGGCATCACAATTCCAGACTTCAAGACATACTACAGGGCAGTTGTAATCAAAACAGCCTGGTACTGGTAAAAAAACAGATGGATAGACCAATGGAACAGAATAGAAACACCGGAGATCAATCCAAACATCTATAACCAACTCATATTCGGCAAAGGACCTAAAACCCACCCCTGGAACAAGGACAGCCTCTTCAACAAATGGTGCTGGGAAAACTGGATGTCCACATGTCGCAGTATGAAGCAAGACCCCTACCTTATACCTTATACAAAAATCCACTCAACATGGATCAAAGAACTAGAGAAGCGCCACGACACCATGAAACTAATTGAGAGCATAGGGGAAACCCTTCAAGATATCTGAATAGGCGAAGAATTCCTGGAGAAGACCCCACAGGCACGGGTAATCAAAGATAAAATAAACAAATGGGATTACCTCAAGTTGAAGAGTTTCTTAACAGCAAAGGAAACAGTCAGGAAAGCGAAGAGGCAACCAAGAGAATGGGAGACGTTATTCGCAAACCACACAACAGATAAAGGATTAACAACTAGAATCTACACAACGATCAAAAAACACCACAGAATCAAAACAACCCAATAAAAAAAATGGGCCAAGGACCTTAACAGACATTTTTCAAAAGAGGAAATCCAAATGGCCAACAGACGCATGAAAAAATGCTCAGGATCCCTAGCCATCAGGGAAATGCAGATCAAAACCACAATGAGATTCCACCTCACTCCGGTTAAATTGGCTTACATACAGAAATCAACCAACAACAGATGCTGGCGAGGATGTGGAGAAAAGGGGCCATTAATCCACTGTTGGTGGGAATGCAAACTGGTTAAGCCACTATGGAAGTCAGTCTGGAGATTCCTCAGAAACCTGAATATAGCACTACCACAGGACCCAGCCATCCCACTCCTTGGAATTTACCCAAATGGAATTAAAGGGGAGAAAAAAAGAGCCAATTGCACCTCAATATTTGTTGCAGCTCAATTCACAATAGCTAAGACATGGAATCAACCTAAATGTCCATCAACGGATGACTGGATAAAGAAACTATGGGATATGTACTCTACGGAACACTACACGGCAGTAAAAAAAAAAAAAAAAATGAAATCCAGTCATTTACAACAAAATGGAGGAATCTGGAAAACATCATGCTGAGTGAAATAAGCCAGTCCAAAAGGGACAAATATCACATGTTCTCCCTAATCGATGGCAACTAAATGAGCATCTAAAATGATACGCCTTTCTCTGAAGGGAGGAAGGAACCTCCATTGTGATACGGCCTTGACTAAACAAATTCAGAGTTGGTGAACTCAAGGGGCTTCCATAGCCTAGACAGCTCATAGCAAGAGTCTCAGGTGATTGCTAACATCATAAATAAGAGTGCCAATTGTTAAATCAACAACGGGAGTCACTGGGTTCATGCTCCCCACGTAGGATCTCTGTCCTTAATGTGTTTAACTATGAAACTCAAAAACAACACTACTAGTCGAACAATACCCTATACCTTGTTTGGTTGTGTGAGTGCAGCCTGTTGAAATCCCTGCTTAGTATATACTAAGGTGATCTTCAGTATATGAAGGTAATTGAAAATGAAACGTGATGAAGGGCGGGGATGGGAGAGGGAGTGAGTGAGGGGAGGGCCACGGGAGGGAGGGAGGTTGGGAGCGGGGGGAGCCACAACAATACAAAAGTTGCATTTTATATTCTACTTAAAACTATTGGTTGAACTCTGTAATTAATACACAATTACTCTTAGGTGTTTATTAATGCTATAACTAGTACTCAAATAGTATTTTACACTTTGTGTTTCTGTGTGGGAGCAAAATGTGGAAATCTTTACTTAACATACGCTAAATTGATCTTCTGTATATAAAGATAATTGAAAATTAATCTTGATGTGAAGGGGAAGGGGAGAGGGAGTGGGAGAGGGGAGCGTTGTGGGTAGGAGGGAAGTTACGGGGGAGGGGGAGGAAGCTATTGTAATCCATAAGCTGTACTTTGGAAATTTATGCTCATTAAATTAAAAAAAAAAAAAACACACACACACAATGAGGTTTCACCTCACCCCGGTTAGAATGGCTCACATTCAGAAATCTACCAACAACAGATGCTGTCGAGAATGTGGGGAAAAAGGGACACTAACCCACTGTTGGTGGGAATGCAAACTGGTCAAGCCACTATGGATGTCAGTCTGGAGATTCCTCAGAAACCTGAATATAACCCTACCATACAACCCAGCCATCCCACTCCTTGGAATTTACCCAAAGGAAATTAAATTGGCAAACAAAAAAGCGGTCTGCACCTTAATGTTTATTGCAGCTCAATTCACAATAGCTAAGACCTGGAATCAACCTAAATGCCCATCAATAGTAGACTGGATAAAAAAATTATGGGACATGTACTCTATAGAATACTATACAGCAGTCAAAAACAATGAAACCCAGTCATTTGCAACAAGATGGAGGAATCTGGAAAACATCATGCTGAGTGAACTAAGCCAGTCCCAAAGGGACAAATATCATATATTCTCCCTGATAGGCGACAACTAACTGAGCACCAAAGGGGAAACCTGTGGAAGTGAAATGGACACTATGAGAAACGGTGACTTGATCAGCTCTTGTCCTGACTGTTGATGTACAATGTAATACTTTATCCATTTTAGTATTTTTTTTGTTCTAGTACTATTGGTTGAACTCTGTAATTAACACACAATTATTCTTAAGTGTTGAAACTTAACTGAAAAGTGATCCCTGTTAAATATAAGAGTGGGAATAAGAGAGGGAGGAGATATACAAGTTTTATCGACTCTCTTGAAAATTAAGAAAAATGAATATAATACCTTAGAAAAATTATTAATAAATTAGAAACATGTGATACTGACATAAAACACTCCTGGCCAGACACATAGCAGGTAGAAGTCATCATGTCTTTCTCAAAATGATTGTGTGCACTTTGCTCAGCTCACAATCTCTATATGGCAAAGTTCTGCTTCCATTAATTCAAATATAATAACATTTTAATACATGGTTAAAGCATACGTACTTATAAATGGTTTTAGGCAACAAGCAATATTAATTGTTGGCATTAAAAATACCATCATCCTGCTTCCAGCTTTTAAAACTGATTCAATTCAAAGGGGCTGGTGCTGTGGTGTAGCAGGGAAAGCCGCTGTCTGTAGAGTTGGCATCCCATATAGGCGCCGGTTCGTGTCCTGGATGCTCCTCTCCCGATATGGATCTCTGCTATGGCCTGGGAAAGCAGTACAAGATGGCCCAAGTCCTTGGGCTCCTGTTTCCACATGGGAGACCTGGAAGAAGCTCCTGGCTCCTGGCCTCTGATAGGCCTAGCTTGCGGCCATTGTAGCCATTTTGGGGAGTCAATCAGCAGATGGAAGACCTTTCTCTGTCTCTCCCTCTCTCTGACTTTAACTCTACCCTCAAATAAATAAAAACAATATCTTTTAAAAAATGATTCAAGGAGCCAGCACTGTGGGTAGTAGGTAAAGCCCATATGGGCACTGAGTCAAGTCCCAGCTGCTTCTGCCTCTCTGTAACTCTGCCTTTCAAATAAATAGATAAATAAATGAAAATTATTCAGAAATTTTTCTTGGAACAATATCATCCACATTTGGAAGAGGTCCTGCTGTGTATGTTTGTATGTATGTGTGCAAATATCTAAGTAGATAATTTCTAACAGCATCAGTGACAACTGAGTCCTGCCAAAGGCATCTTATTAACTAGCTCACTTAAAAGTGTCAGTTATGACAATTCCCTCAATGAAAACCAAGATAAGCGAAGACATATACTTTTTTTTTTTTGACAGGCAGAGTTAAACACTGAGAGACAGAGAGAAAGGTCTTCCTTTCCGTTGGTTCACCCTCCAATGGCCGCCGTGGCCGGCGTGCTGTGCCAATCTGAAGCCAGGAGCCAGGTGCTTCCTCCTGGTCTCCCATGTGGTTGCAGGAGCCACGTACTTAAGACATCCTCCACTGCCTTCCTGGGCCACAGCAGAGAGCTGGACTGGAAGAGGAGCAACTGGGACAGAACCGGCACCCCAACCGGGACTAGAACCCAGAGTGCTGGCGCCGCAGGTGGAGGATTAGCCTAGTGAGTGGCGGCACTGGGGTAAGACACATACTCTTAAGATACTGTTGATGGGGCTGGCGCTGTGGTGTAGCAGGTAAAGGTGACCAGCTGCTCCACTTCCAATCCAGCTTCCTACTACTGTGCCTGGGAAAGCAGTGGAAGGTGGTCCAAGTCCTTGGGCCCCTCACCCACGTGGGAGACCTGGAAGAAGCTCCTGGCTCCTGGCTTCAGATCAGCCCAGCTCTGACCATTGCAGCCATTTGGAGAGAGAACTAGCAGATGGAAGATCTCTCTCTCTCTCTGCCTTTAACTCTGACTTTCAAATAACTAAACAAATCTTTAAAAAAGATACTGTTGGTGAAAAATTAGTAAAAGTAAATAGGAAACGGCCAGCGCCACGGCTCACTAAGCTAATCCTCCGCCTTGCAACGCCAGCACACCGGGTTCTAGTCCCGGTCGGGACGCCAGATTCTGTCCCGGTTGCCCCTCTTCCAGGCCAGCTCTCTGCTGTGGCCAGGGAGTGCAGTGGAGGATGGCCCAAGTGCTTGGGCCCTGCACCCCATGGGAGACCAGGAGAAGCACCTGGCTCCTGCCATCAGATCAGCGCGGTGTGCTGGCCACAGCGCGCCGGCCGCAGCGGCCATTGGAGGGTGAACCAACGGCAAAGGAAGACCTTTCTCTCTGTCTCTCTCACTGTCCCAAAAAAAAAAAAAAAAAAAAAAGAGTAGGATTAATGATTTATTTTAAAATGGAAAAAATTAAACATCAAATGACAGAAACCTACAGCATTAAACTGGAAATCTAGAGAAATACGCAGTTTACCAGTAAAAACACACAGAAGCAAAATGCACTCTTACAACAGAAAGCGGGGCCATGTGCCTCGGAGGGTCAAGCCGCCCACTGCGGTCCATGCGGGTGCTGGCTCGGCCGGTGGCTCCACGTCCAGCCCACATCCCTGCTAACGCCCTGGGAAATGGCAGAGGACGGCCCACGTGCTGGTCCCCGCGCCCACGCGGGAGACCTGCGAGAGGTCCCGGATCCGGGCTGCAGCCTGGCACGGCCCTGGCCACTGTGGCCATCTGGGAAGCGAACCAGTGATGGAAGACCTCTCTCACGCTTTCAAAATCTGAAAAAAGAAAGAAGACGACGAACTGGCATGGAAACGCCCGGAGCCGCCGCGGGCAGACCGGGCGCGGGGACTCCCGGCGGGCGCGTGGCCTCCACAGACTGAACTTCGCTTTTCTAAAGTCACAGAAAACAGCAGGCGGCGGCTCTCCGCCGGGGACTTCCCGGCACGACCCCGAGGGCGGACACGGGGAGGCCGGTCACTGCGGGCTGACCGGACACGGCCGGCCGGCACCAGCGGGAGCCGCTCGGCCGCGCGGCGACCCTCACAGGCATAAACAAGTCTCACGTATCGACTTTTCCTCGAGGCTTTGCACCCCTGAGGATCTGTTTGTTTAAAAGAAAGGGCGACAGAGAGAGAGAGAGAGAGAGAGAGAGAGATCGTCCATCCGCTGCTTCACTCCCCAGATGCCCCCAGATGCCCTCAAAGCCAGGGCCCGGGGGCCGCATCCGGGTCTCCCAGGCCGAGGCCAGGGCCCGGGAGCTACATCCGGGTCTCCCACGCCGAGGCCAGGGCCCGGGAGCTACATCCGGGGTTCCCCAGGTCGAAGCCAGAGTCCAGGAACCGCATCCAGGTCTCCCACGCCAGGGCCAGGGCCCGGGGGCCGCATCCGGGGCTCCCCAGGCCGGGGCCAGGGCCCGGGAGCTACATCCGGGTCTCCCACGCCGAGGCCAGGGCCCGGGAGCTACATCCGGGGTTCCCCAGGTCGAAGCCAGAGTCCAGGAACCGCATCCGGGTCTCCCAGGTCGAGGCCAGGGCCCGGAGAGGCATCCGGGTCTCCCAGGCCGGGGTCAGGGGCCGGGAGCCGCATCCGGGTCTCCCCGGGCCAGGGGCAGCACTGGGCCTGCGCCGGCGCTCAGCAGGGGCGGCAGGGGAGCGTCGCGTCGCCTCGGCCCCTCAGACACCACTCGTCAGGGTCGGGATGGGCACGATTCTGCCTGTGAGGAGACCCCAGGCCCCGGGCCGGCGCCCCAAGGACAGCACAGACCCGCTGCCGCCTCACCTTTTCCTCAGGCCGCGGCGGAGTCTCCCGGCCACGAGGAGGAGACGCGGCCCCTCAGCGTCCCCAACCAAGCACAGCCGCGCCCCGCACGCCCCCTGCCGGCCACAGCGCCGCACAGCACGCCGGGCGCTGCACGGTCGCGGGGAAGTGCGCCCCCTCCCGGCGAGCCCGGACATTCACACTGGAACGGACCCCCCATCGCGAGCCCTGACAGGGATGCCGGGGGCCATGGCTGAGCGTTTGCCGCGCGGGGTCCCCAAAGCCGTGCGCAGAGAGGGCGCCTCCTGAGGGCGTCGGGGAGGCTCACGGCGGTCGCGAGGCAGAGACCCTCGCTGGTGCCCTGGCCCCCTGGCCCGGCTGCCTCAGACGCTGCAGAGCCCCCAGACGTCACCCCCGTACCTCGGGCCTCCGGGCCTCCAGAAGTGTGAAAACCAAGTTTCTCTTCTTTATGAATTACCAGCCGCAGGTATTCAGTCACAGCAACAGATCACAGACCGAAACAGAGGGGGATAACAAGAAGCAAAGCAGGTAACCAACAGACCGAAACAGAGGGAGGTGACAAGAAGCAAAGCAGATAACCAACAGACCGAAACAGAGGGGGTGACAAGAAGCAAAGCAGGTAACCAACAGACCGAAACAGAGGGGGGTGACAAGAAGCAAAGCAGGTAACCAACAGACCGAAACAGAGGGGGGTGACAACAAGCAAAGCAGGTAACCAACGCAAAAGTCGGTGATTTCCTGTGTACCAGAGGAACGGCTGGAATCTGAAATAAACAGCAGCGCTTACACTAGCACCCCAACACTGGGGTCCTTAAGAATAAACCTCACACAGTCTGTACAAGCGTGCACTCAGAAACCTTTGAACATAGTGGAGAGACATTGGAACACACTGTAATGGGGCATTTCTTTGTCCGGGAGCAGTGTACTCATTGTTATTAGATGACAATTCTTTCCAATTTGTTCTGTGGAATCCCAACCAACTTCCCAGAAAAGGCACTGACGAGCTTTCTAAATCTAGAATAGACGACATAAGACTTACAATTACAAAGTTAAAGAACTGACGTATGAAGCCATTGTCTGGCATAGCAGCTACGATGCCACTTGGGCACCCCCATCCCATATCAGAGTGCCTAGGATCTGAACCCCAGCTCCGCTCCTGATTCCAGCTTCCTGCTAACACACACCTGGGGAATCCGCAGGTAATGGCTTAAGTCCTTGGGTCCCTGTCCCTCACATGGGAGACCTGGATTGGGTTCTGCTGCCTCCTGGCTTCAGCCTGGCCCTGGCCCAGTCCTGACTGTTGTGGGCATTTGGGGAAGGAACCAGTAGATGAGATCTCTCTTGATCTGTGTGTGTGTGTGTGTGCGTGCGTGTGTGCGCCTTTCAAAAAAATAAGTAAATTTTTAGAAAAAGACACCTTACATACCACAAACAGAAACTCAACACACAACTGTATACAGAAGCTGTCTTCATAACGATCAAATGCTAAGGGATCAGGATGACCTTCAATAGCAGAATGAGAGACAAACTGGAGTGCATCCGTCAGTGTCACACTGTCCAGCAGGAGAAACGGATGTCTGCAGACACTGGTGAATCTTACATGCATGTGACTGAGTGACATCAGCCAGTACAGGCTGGCACTGTGGCACAGTGGGCTAAGCTGCCGCCTGCAACACAACATACCATATTAGAACTTCAAGACGTGGCTGCTCCACTTCTGATCCAACTCCCTGATTCTGTGCCTGGGAATGCAGAGGAAGATGGCCCAAGTGCTTGGGCCTCTGCCACCCACATAAGAGCCCCAGATGGAGCTCCTAGCTCCTGGCTTTAGCTTGGACCAGCTCTGGCTGTTACAGCCATTTGGTGAGTGAACCAGCTGATGGATGATCTCTCTCGCTCTCTCTCACTCTGCCTTTCAATAAATAAGTATATCTTAAAAAAGAAAGGAAGGAAGGAAGGAAGGAAGGAAGGAAGGAAGGAAGGAAGGAAGGAAGGAAGGAAGGTCTGAAGAAGCTGCACTCTGTACAGTCCCATATAAATGACATCATGGAAAAGGAAAGATTACAGAGACAGTAAACAGACCTGGCACAGACAGTAGTTTGGAGGGGTGGGGACTGAGTTCTATAAGGAAATAGGGCAGTGGGGGAGTGGAGGGACCACAAGTGGGTCAGGTGGGAGAGGACTCCCTCTGGGTAAGATCATGTGGGTATGTGTGGCAAAGCTGGGCTGTGTGGCCCCAGTGTGAACAGGATGGCCATTTCTCACTTCAGAAGTGAAGGGTCTTCTTCCTCACATATGGGACTATTTCAGGATCAGATCTGAGAAAGACCTTGGGGGGAGGGGGGAGTAAAATAAACATAACATTTTACCATTTTTATTATTTTATTTTAGTAGAACATTTTTTTTTTTTTTGACAGGCAGAGTTAGAGAGAGAGAGACAGAAAGGTCTTCCTTTTCCATTGGTTCACCCCCCAAAATGGCCGCTATGGCCAGTGCTGCACCGATCCAAAGCCAGGAGCCATGTGCTTCCTCCTGGCCTCCCATGCAGGTGCAGGGCCCAAGCACTTGGGCCATCCTCCACTGCCTTCCCGGGCCACAGCAGAGAGCTGGACTGGAAGAGGAGCAACCAGGACAGAATCCGGCACCCCAACCGGGATTAGAATCCAAGGTGCCGGCCCCACAGGTGGAGGATTAGCCAAGTGAGCTGTGGCGCCAGCCATTTTAATTTTTTTAATTTATTCTATTTTATCTGAAAAGCAGAGTTACAGAGAGAGAGGAAGACAAAGAGAGAGTTTTTCCATCTGCTGATTCACTCCCCAAATGGCCACAATGGCCAGAGCTGGGTGCGACTGAAACCAGGAGCCTGGAACTTCTTCTGGGTCTCCCACAGGGGTGGTAGGAGCCCAAGCAGTTGGGCCATTTCTTCTGCTTCCCCAGGTGCTTCAGCAAAGAGATGGATCAGAAGTGGAACAGCCAAGACTCAAACCGGTGCCCATATGGGATGCCAGCATCACAGGCTGCGGCTTTACCTGCTATGCCACAATGTCAGTCCCTATTTTATTCTCTTAATTGGGATAAAATGGACATAATATAAGCTGCACCATTCTAACTCTCTTTATGTGTACAGTTCAGTGGCAGTAGGTACACTTACATGGTTGTGGGACCCATCACCATTACATTATCTTTTCTCATTCTCACAGGCAAATCCCATGAATTGATTTCCCACATACTCACCAACACTGGATTGCACTTTTCTAAACAGTCACAAGCTTTTGTAAATTTTCAGATATAAGGACTTACTAATATATCCACTGATTGATATTTCATATTAGTAATGCAAAAATACAGGTTTATATAACCTAGGTTCAAATCTCAGAAGCTTTTTATTTTTATACCATATTTAAAAGGATACACTAATAAAACCAATTGCCTTTCTCAAAGCAGGGCAGATCTGTGAGTGAAGTTGGAGGTCACATGTTTTGAAACTTTCAAGAACATGCCAGTTCTAAATTATTCCTTCATCAGACACCGCATGATGACCTGGTGCTTCCACAGCCCACAAGCTGTTAACAAGACTGTGTTTATACCCCCAGGCTTACCAGACAATCAGACACAGTATAGGCAGTGAGGCCGGGAAAGACAGACAATTTAAAGACATTGCTTGGCCAGCGCCACGGCTCACTAGGCTAATCCTCTGCCTTGCGGCGCCAGCACACCGGGTTCTAGTCCTGGTCAGGGCGCCGGATTCTGTCCCGGTTGCCCCTCTTCCAGGCCAGCTCTCTGCTGTGGCCAGGGAGTGCAGTGGAGGATGGCCCAAGTGCTTGGGCCTTGCACCCCATGGGAGACCAGGAGAAATACCTGGCTCCTGCCATCGGATCAGCGTGGTGCACCAGCCGCAGCGCGCCGGCCGCGGTGGCCATTGGAGGGTGAACCAACGGCAAAGGAAGACCTTTCTCTCTGTCTCTCTCTCTCACTGTCCACTCTGCCTGTCAAAAAAAATAAAAATAAAAAAGACATTGCTTAACTGTGCAAATCCACAGTTAGGAAGAGAGAAGAGCTTTTATGTCTTCAGTCCACTCCTAAATTAGGCATGGGTAGACTCTATCAGATCTCCACAGAGATCAAGCTTAATTAATTTTATACAACATTGAAATGGACAAGTATCTGTAACAAAATTGTTGGAGAAAATAGGTACTCTTAGATACAAGATTGCAAAGTTTCCAGAGATTTCAAATGAAGGCCAGTATACGTTACAAAAATACAACATTTTTGGTCTTCTAGTCTGTCTGCATGGTAGTGACTCTGCTCTTCCTGGCTGGTTAGCTCTTCTGTGACTGACCCATGAAGCATCAAGTGAACAGGGCAGCAAGGGCTTGTGAGCGGGACACAAGTGGCCCAAACCCTGCGCAGGCCCACAAATCACTAGGTGAGCATGTGCTCCTGGCCCACTGTCAGGGAAACAGGGCGAGCATCTGGACTCGCCGATCCTGCCTTCTTCTCAGTTCCCACTTTCATGATGCTTGCCATTCTAGTGTGAATGACTTGGTTCTCACTGTGCTTGGATTTTCAATTATCTAAGGACTGAACAGTGTTGAGCAGCTTTTCACGTATTTAGCAGCACCAGATTTTGAAAGGATTTTTTTTTTTGGAGTGACACCCAAAGCACCAGAAACAAAAGGAAAAGTAAATATATTGGAGTTCACAAAAATTACAAACTCTGGGGCCTGCATTGTGTAACAGCAGGTAAAGCTGCTGCCTACAATGCTGGTATCCCATTTGGGAGTGCTTGTTCAAATCCCAGCTGCTCCAAGTCCAACCCAACTTCCTGCTAGCAAGCCTGGGGAGGGAACAGACAGTGGTCCAGACGCTCGGGCTACTGCCACCCAAGTGGGAGACCTGAGCAGAGTTCCGACTCCTGGTTCTGGCCTGGCCCAGACCTGGCTGCTGCAGCCATGTATGAATGGAAAATTCTCTCTCGCGCTCGCTCGCGCTCTCTCCCTGTCTCTTGCTCACTCTTTTTGTTTTCTGTTTTTCAAATAAATCTTTTATGAATTTCATATAAATTCATATTCGCTCTCTTTCAGCACTCTCTTTCAAATAAATAAATCTTTTATAAGTTTTATATAAAAATGTTTTGTGGGACAAGGATCATGCATAGTGGGTGAAGCCACCATTTGGGACACCTTACAGCCTATGTCAGAGAGCCTGGTCCAGGTTTCAGCTACTTTGCACTTCCAATCCAGCTTCCTGATAATGTGCTTTGGAGGCAGCAGATCTTGGCCAAAGTTGTAGGGTCCTGGCTTTGGCCTGGCCCAGCCCCAACCTGTAGCAGCCATCTGGGGAGTGAATCAGCAGATGGAAGATCTCTCTTCCTCTCTCTCTTCCTCTCTCTTTCTTTCTTCCTCCCTCCACCCTTCTCTTGCTGTCTTTCAATAAATAAATATTTACTTAAAAAAATACTTTTGGGGCCGGCGCCGCTGCTCACTAGGCTAATCCTCTGCCTTGCGGTTCTAGTCCTGGTCAGGGCGCCAGATTCTGTCCCGGTTGCTCCTCTTCCAGGCCAGCTCTCTGCTGTGGCCCGGGAGTGCAGTGGAGGATGGCCCAAGTGCTTGGGCCTTACACCCCATGGGAGACCAGGAGAAGCACCTGGCTCCTGGCTTCGGATCAGCGAGATGCGCCGGCCACAGCGGCCATTGGAGGGTGAACCAACGGCAAAAGGAAGACCTTTCTCTCTGTCTCTCTCTCTCACTGTCCACTCTGCCTGTCAAAAAAAAAAATTAAAAAAAAAAAATAGAAAGCCAACAGAATGGAAGAACATGTTTGCAAATCAAGTATTTCATAAAGGGCTAGTACTAGAATGTATTTTTTAAAACACTTAGAACCCAACAATAAAAAGACAATGCCATTTAAAATGGGGCAGAGGACTTACAGACTGTTCTCCATAAAAGATGCACAGAGACACTCAAGATCATCAGCTCTTAGGAAAAGGTGACCACAGCAAGGGGACACACCTTCGGCCTGGATGTTACGATGCCACATGGGACACCCGTAACCCCTGTGGGGTGTCTGGCTTCGAGTCTCAGCTCTGCTCCCAGTTCCACCTTCACACTAATGCACATCCTGGGATGGAACACCACTAATGGAAATGTAAGGTGGTGCAGTCACTGTGGACGACAGTTTGGGAGCTGTATGAAAAGCTAAACAGAATCGCCACAATCTCACTCTGAAACAGACAAAGGAACTGAAAACCAGCAGAAACTTGTACACAAATGTCCACATCAGCATAATTCTCAGTAACAGAAAGGTGGAAAGAACACAATGGCCCTCAGCAGACACATGGACAAATGAGTCGTGGTGAATGCGTCCCCTGGAATAACATCCACGCAATGGAAAAATCAGGACTGAGGTGCTGACACACGATGGAGGGTGCAGGAGACACGAGAGACAAGGTGGCCACAAGAGTCATGCACCGCCCAACTCCAATCACACAAAGCACCCAGAAACCCAGAGACAGAAAGCTGACTGGGGGGGGGGCGGGGCGGGGGGTCAGAGGGAGGGGAGAATGAGGAGTGACTGCTTAATGGCAGGGGTCTCTTTTGGGTGATGAAAATGCGTTTGAACTAAGCAGATGGCTGCACAACATTGTGCATGTACTAAAATATCACTGAGCTAAAAAAAATTTATATTATATGAATTTTACCTAAAAACAAAACAAAACAAAACAAAACCTGTAGTCCCCAGGGTTCACTCACCAGGGTAAGTCCTCCTCCCACAGTGTTCCCTCAGCCTGGCATTCGCGTTTAATATTTATTCACTTATTTATTTGAAAGGCAGGGGCCCCAGGACTTGGGTCATCCCCTACTGCTTTCCTAGGCACATCAGCAGGGAGCTGGATTGGAAGTGGAGCATCCAGGACTCAAACCAGCACTCTTATGGGATGTTGGTGTCACAGGTGGCAGCTTAACCCACTGAGCCACAATGCCAGCCCCCAGTGGCCACTTCGTATTTAAGATCAAGGTCAGCATCGCTCTGAGGACCTCACAGATGCCCAGTGACCAATGAGGCCTCCTTGCAGTTTACAGGGTCTTCTACCCTAGCCCTGCTGTAACCCAGACACTGGCACAGGGTTTCCAAGGGTTGTCCCATCCAGGTGAGGGGAACTCAGCACTTCTGAGCACCCCATACCCAGGTGTCTTGCTCAAGTGAACTCAGAGCTGCTCTGCCAGGGGTGGCTTAGCCACATGTACAGACAGGAAGGTGACGGTGCACATTCAGGCTCCAGCCCAGAGCCACATACCCAGGTGCTCAGGGGAAATGAACGTATGTTCAGGCCTCACAGGAGAGCTGTCCCGGCTGTGCAGGTGGCCCAGGTCCCATGTGAAGCTGCACAGACGGTTACAAATACACCAGCCAGGGGCTGCCCAAAGGCCGGCCCCAGGAAGTGGGTTCACGCTGGTATTTTTATACTTGGCTAGAGCTGAGGATGCCTCCACCTCACTTCCGCCCACAGCCCTCCCACTCTCTGGGGCTTCCCTCATCCCCACTGACAGGATCCTGCACCACTGAGACTCACCACAAAACCTCAGGGGCTTTGCAGACATGCAGAGCAGGAGGGAAGCCAACCTGAGCCAGATGGGGCTCTGGCCTCTGGGGGCCAGGGGCTGAAGGAATCCCCCTCCCAGGCCTCAGGGAATGTGGGAGCACCCAGGAGGCTCATCACCTGAAAAGAGAGCAGCCTCCACTTTTCCCACCTTCAGAACTTCAGAACAGTCTCACCCCAGCCCTCACCAGCAGATGACCCAAGTGCCACCTCCAAGGTCAAGAGTCAGGTTCTCATGAGCTCTGCCTGGGGCAGCCAGGAAGGACCAAAGTCTTGGGGCCATCAAGGAGGTAGTCATGGGCAGAGGCAGGGGTGCTGTTGTGTTGAATGGTGTCCCCACAATTCATAGGCTGAAGTCCTCACCCCCAGTACCTGTGAGGGTGACCTCATCCTCAGATGGAAATAGGGTCTTTGCAGATGACCGAGCTAAGATGAGGTCATCAGGGTCAGCATTAACCTGCGGCTATTGCGTCCTTAGAAAAAGAGGGAACCAGGAAGATGCCTTGTGAAGCTGTGTCAGCCATCACAGCCATGAAACAAGCTGGTGACCAGGACAGTGCTTGCCCGGCGCCTTCAGAGGGAGCCCAGCACTGCCAACAGCTGCCCTCCACACTTCCCTGCTGCACAGCTGTGAGATGACAGCTCTGTGGTCTGAGCCACCCAGTTTGTGGTACTCGGCAACGGTAGCCCTAGGAAAATATCAGGTGCATGCTCCTCCATCGGCCACTCTCCCAGACCACTTCCTGGAGTGGCCACCTCCCAGGCCACCGCTGCTGCCAGGTGGGGACCTGCAGCTCTGACAGCCCAGGAGCACTGGCACAGGGACAGCAGGAGCACCTTTGGGGCGTTGTGCTCCCTGCTTTCTTTGGGAGGCCATGGGTCAGCCCTGAAAGTTATAGAGTCCGGACTGCCAGCTGCATCCTGTCTCAGCACCGTGAGGGGCCGACTTCCCTGGGGCTGGTCACTGAGCCTCCATCCTGCTGTCGTCAGAGCCCAGGAAATCAGGACCAGCCCCTCCCAGCCTTCGGAGCAGCCACAATGCCCCTTACAGTCTCAGGAAGGCAGAGAGAAGCAGCTCCACCTGTCGGGGCATCTCACTGACCTCAGAGTCCAGGCTGGCCCACCCAGGGTGAGGACAGAACAGGCTGGGGGGGGGGGGGCACACCTGTCTTATCAGAGAGGCCAGGTGCAAGGCCAGAAGGAGGGAGGGCGGTTGTTAAGATGCTGAGGGGGAGGCCCTCCCCACAGGAGCTGGGCAGAGGGGTGAGGGGCAGCTCCTGCCTCCATCCAGACAGGGCCTCTGACACAGCACAGGTGCCCTCCTCAGGAGACCCAGTGCTGATCAGGGGTCAGCTCCAGAGACCTAAGCCATTTCCATCAACAAAGACAGGATGCAGCTGGCAGTCCGGACTCCATAACTTTCAGGGCTGAGCCACGGCCTCCCGAAGAAAGCAGGGAGCACAATGCCCCAAAGGTGCTCCTGCTGTCCCTGTGCCCTGGTCTTGCCCCTCATTCTGACCAACTGCCACATAGGCATCCCTTGGCTGGAGATCTGAGCCCTGTGGGTCACAGGAAAGGCCACGGGCCGCAGCTGGAACAGGCTCCGAGCTCTGTGTGTTTCCTGGGAAGGCTGTGGGATAGCAACCTCCATAGAAGCCCAAAACACAGTACTTGCTCCTGTCCTCTAGGTCTGAGGCAGCCAGCCCAGTGGGGGCCATGGGAGCCCAGTCCTCCTGTGGCAGATACACAGGTGGCTGTGCCTTCCACTCCACACACCCTGCTGGCGGCACCTCTGAGCCTGGGGCCCCTGGGAGGCCCACGCCACTGCCTTCCTTCCTCTGCAGGCCCACAGACTCCCGTGGGTGCATCGGGCTGTATGTGAGCGGAGTGATGGTCTCCCAGTCACTGGACTCTGAGGCTCCTGGTAGCGTGTGGACACCATCCGGGCTCAGCTGCAGGCCTGGTCTGTGGGCTCCTGTCCAGGTCTGGAACAGAGCACAGGAGAAGGAAAGGGCTCTGGGACACATTCAACCGGGAGCAGGGGCCTCCTGCGCAGCCGGCCCAGCCTCCCTCCCCCTGCAGGAAGCTCTCCTGACAGCCACACCCAGAAGCCAATCAGGGCCTGTGCTGGAACATTCTGTCTTCCCTATGGGACCCGAGTCCTTTCAAGTCCCTCACTGCTCCCCCAGCTGGGCCTGATGCTCACAGGATCCAGAGGGAGAGTACAAGTAGTGGCCGGTGCCGAGGACAGAGCAAACCCTGCCAGCACATGCAGACCTAGTCATCCCCACCCCAAACCCTGCAGTCAGCAGACACCTGTCAAAGGACTGGGCTAAGGACAGCAGCCCTGGACACTTCTGAGAGGCTACAGAAGGCCCCGCCCCTGAAAGGAGGCTGGTTACTCAGTGGGACCAGGAGCCTCCACCAGACGCTCCCAGTACCCCACCCCTCCTCACTGCACTGCTCCTGGGAAAGCCAGTCCACAGACGCTCCCGGTACCTCACCCCTCCTCACTGCACTGCTCCCACCCCTCCTCACTGCACTGCTCCTGGGAAAGCCAGTCCACAGACGCTCCCGGTACCTCACCCCTCCTCACTGCACTGCTCCTGGGAAAGCCAGTCCACAGACACTCCCGGTACCCCACCCCTCCTCACTGCACTGCTCCTGGGAAAGCCAGTCCACAGACACTCCCGGTACCCCACACCTCCTCACTGCACTGCTCCTGGGAAAGCCAGTCCACAGACGCTCCCTGTACCCCACCCCTCCTCACTGCACTGCTCCTGGGAAAGCCAGTCCACTGACGCTCCCTGTACCCCACCCCTCCTCACTGCACTGCTCCTGGGAAAGCCAGTCCACAGACACTCCCAGTACCCCACCCCTCCTCACTGCACTGCTCCTGGGAAAGCCAGTCCACAGACACTCCCGGTACCCCACCCCTCCTCACTGCACTGCTCCCACCCCTCCTCACTGCACTGCTCCTGGGAAAGCCAGTCCATAGCAGGCCAGCCCTGAAGGTCTGACTAAGCCCTGGCAATGCCACAGCTCTGTAGAGAAGACCAGGTTCCTGCAGCTGAGTGACACAGGCCAGAGGCCACTCAGAGTCTCGCCCTGCTCAGCCTTGGCTCGCTGCCCTGCACCGTGGACCAATCCTCAGTGCTAAGCTCCACGTTGCCTTTGTCTTGAAGCCTAGGCTTCCCATTAAGAGAGACGAGGATTTTCTGGAAACACAGGGGAAGGAGACATCCCTTCCCACACAGGGTGCAGGGAATCCTGGGGAAGAGCAGGGTCAGCGTGGCCCAGATCCTGGGGAAATGTCCAGGCCACTTCCTTTCCTTTGTCCTCAGTGAGGAACCTGAGAAGGCAGAGCAGAGTGCCCAGTGGAGCCTTCATCTCAGCCCAAGAGGGGAACAGTGCTTGGTGCACACGGTCTGACGTCTCCCATGTGCACTGCATTGCGATGACTGTGTGTGGCCTGTGGGAGTCCAACAGACTCTGCACAGGGGGAAATGCAGAGTCTACTTGTGGGCCTTGATGCCAGAGAACTACCTGGGGGGAGGCAGAAGGGACCAAGGACCATGCAGTGGCCCGGACAGCAGGAGTCCAGGAGCCAGCCAGAGCCCCAAGGGCAGCACATTCCCAGAGGCCCTTCTCACAGACGCACTTGGAGGATGACGGAGAGGAAGAAAGAAGGGACAAGGGGCCGGCCCTGTGGTGTAGCAGGTAAAGCTGCCATCTGCAGTGCCGGCATCCCATATGGGCGCCAGTTTGAGTCCCAGCTGCTCCACTTTGGGGAGTGAACCAGTGGGTGGAAGACCTCTCTCTCTCTCTCTCTCTCTCCCCCTCTCCCTCTCCGCCTCTCTCCCCCTCTCTCCCCTTCTCTCCCCCTCTCTCTCCCTCTCTCTCCTTCTCTCCCCCTCTCTCTCCCTCTCTCTCCTTCTCTCCCCCTCTCTCTCCTTCTCTCTCCCTCTCTCTCCCTCTCTCTAACTTTGCATTTCAAATCAATAAATAAGCCTTTTAGAAAAAAAGGAGGGGAAGGGGAGGGAGAGGAGGGACGAGACCGTCCCCAGCGTTTGCTCCCTGCAGCCAGGACTTCCCTGGATGGAAAAGCAGAGCAGAGCCGTCATGAAGACAACAATGGGACGGAGACAGGAGAACAAGAAAGAAATCAGCAAGGAAAGAAGAAGCTAATCTTCTTTGCCCAGTTGAGACAGTGTGTGAAATTGAAAGCCACTGTAAATATAAACATGTACACATATATAAAGGCCCGAAGCTCTGAAAAAAGCTCCCATGCTTGCCTCCACCCTTCCCCTAAGTGTGCATCCTGGGCAGGCCACACCTCTGAGCCACACCTGCACCCACACCTGCAGCGGGGCCCACACATACCTGGAAGTTCCCGTTGTGCACACTGTAGAGGGGCTGGAAGAACACAGCTGGGGTGGGCACGTCCTGGTGGAAGCTTCTCTTTACCCTGAGGCCAGAGGAGGCAGAACCAATGGGGACCCGAGCAGGGGCTGCCTCCAAGGGGAACGCTCCCAAGGCTCTCCTTGGCTCCCAGGCCTGGCCCCACCAAGTGCCCCTTCCCCCACCCCACCCCCATCTGTCCATGGCCTCTTGTGCTCTGTTACACTCAACCCTGGCCAGTCTTCTCCAGGACCCACTCAGGACAGGGGCCCTGTGCCCCCGGTAACTTGACACACATTCAGACTTGATGGCTTACTCAAGGGGACTCCTGTCTCAGTCTCTGGGGCGTCCATTAGGGCTGAAAACAGGGTTCTGTGCACAATAGAACCCAAAACTGCATTTTCCTAGAACGTGTGAACAAATGAGCAAGCCAGCCAGCTCCCCAAAGACAGGGGACTGAGTCACACCTTGGCTGGGCAGGGCCAATCCAACGCCATCTTCAGGCCTTACCACAGAACTGCTTCCCCTCTCTTCTCCAGGGACATGGAACCCCTCACCACTAACCCTGGGTGGAGACTTGAAAACCCTACCTAATCCAGGATCAGCCAGTGAGAGGTGGGAAGGGGCGGCCCTCGATGCCTGACTCACCACCCACACACACGCACACATACACACACACGACCTACTTACCTGGGTGACAGCTTGAACAGAAGGTAGATGAGGCCACTCAGGAGGATAAAGATGGACACAGCAACAAGGGTGCTGTCCAGCTGCCCCCAGGGTGGGATCAGGGAACCTGTGGGCAGAAGGGCTCAGGGCTGTGAGCAGCCTCCTTGCCAGGATATTGTCTCCAAACCCCCACAGCCAGAGTCCCTGTTACTGCACTGGGCCAGCACTGCACTGGGGTGAGGCGCAGCCAGGCCTCCTCTCCTCATCTGCCATTCAGCCGGGGGTGAGCACAGCCCCCACCCAGGTGACTAAGGTCATGTCTGGCCTCCAGCAGCCCTGGACCACATGCCCTCTAAACTATGCCGCAAAGCAAAGGCTCTCGGGAAACCCAGGGCATCCGCTCCTCTGTGCATACCTCTGACCTCCAGGCGAGGGGTCAGCGGGGCAGGACTGCCCGAGGGAGGGGGTTTGGCAGGGTGCAGGGGGTGGATAGGCAGAGAGGGAACCTGGACAGACTCTGGAGGGCAGCACCCACCCCGTCTCTGGGGAGGGCGGAAGCACACCGGCTGGCTCCACTCGCTCCACTGGCCCTCGTAGCGCTCCTCCTCCGTGTCATCCTCCAGTGTGGCCATCTGCACCCGCAGCCTGGCCTCGTAGGTGGAGCCGGGCTCCAACTCGATGGCTTCAAGGGTGATCCTGGTCACCCCAACAATGCGGTCCTTGTGCTGGGCCCCCTGTGGGTTGGAGGCAGTTAGCAGGTGCTGAGGGTGGTGCTAGGCCCACCAGCCCTTGAGATCAAACACGTGGGCACACACAGACACATTCACACTCACATTCCTTCACACACAGACACAGCCACACTCACTAGTCACACACTCACACAGACCCACAGAAGCGCTCTGTGTGCACACGCATCCAGACGTACACACGAGCACATGCATGTGCGTGCAGACACACCAGTGCACACACACACACCTGGCTCTGATCTCCCTCCTCATCGCTCCACGTTGGCACTCTCCCGTGAAGGACAGGAAGCCTACCCCGGGCTGCTGCTCCCAGGACAGAAGGCGCCAGGGGAAGCCAGCCAGTTACCTCCCAGGCTTCTTCCTGCCTCTTGAAAGCCAGCTCGTAGCTGAGAAGTGTGGTCAGTGGCTCCAACGCAAGGCTGACGCTCCAGGTCAGGACACAGGAGCCGGAGCTGATGTTGCTCTGCAGGTCAGAGGGCGGGTCCAGCTTCACTGGAACAGGGGGAGGCCTTGTGATGCAGAACCCATGGCTCAGGGCGTGCCGCGGTCACGCCTCAGCGCGGCCGAGGCCCTCTCAAGCCAGAGGCCTCAGAGCAGTCTGCTCCAGGGGAGCCTCAGGGACAACAGCTGCACAGGGCCTCCTGCATCTCGCACCCCTTCCTTCACGACCGTGTGGCACGGTGCAGCCTTCCTGCTATCCCCGAGGGAGGCAGACAAGGCTCCGCTCCCAGTCCCTGCCCTGACTGGACGCCCTGCGGTTCATCCCGTGCCAAAACTCCGCCTCTGCACCAACCACACAGCCACGCAGGCGCCCACCCCCAGCTCGCCCCGGCCCTGGGCCAGGCGGGCCCAAGAAGGCCCACGAGGCCTGTGGCCACGCTGCTCACCGTTTCTCCGGGGCAGGTACTGCCGGTCCACCAGGCGGACCTGCTCCTTCCCAGACACACAGTAGTGGAGGGTGATGCTGAAGCTGTCAGACGGCACCAGCACCTCCGTGGGTGGCAGCAGCACGGTGCACGCACTGCCCCGAAACACACACCGGTGCTTGCTGCCCGGCACCTGGTTGCTGAAAGGGCTGACGTCAGCACCAAGGGGCTGCCACGCCCCTCCCGGCCCCGAAGGCGGCCCTGGCCTCCTCCCCACCTGGTGAACAGGAGCCAGGGGCCGCAGCCCTGGTCCAGCTCCGGGGCAGAGCCGCGGCAGTCGATCCTCAGGATGTTGTTGTTGAGGCAGGTGAAAGCTGCAACCCTCGGCCCCGGGGTCAGTGACCGCTGGGAGCCCACGGTGGGGGCGTACGGGCCGAGCCCGGGGGTGGGTGGGGGAGGGTCTGACCGTGCACACCCTAATGAGACAGTCACCACAGACGACGTCAGGGCCCTGGCAAGCAGGCAGGGCAGGCCCAGAGAGGCATCGGGAGGGTCTGTGAGGGGCCCCGGGGTCAGTGGGACTGAGATCCAGGCTGAGCCCTGCTTCCCCACCCCACCCCATGCACACAAACTGGGGCGCCCGCCCTCACCTCCTCCTGCCTCTGAGACAGAGACCTCCCAGCAGGCACAGACACACAGGCAGGTGCAGACGAGAAGCCAGGTGCCCATATCGTCTCGGGGCCTTGCCCACCAGGTTCCAACCTGCAAGGGACTGAGCTAAGGTTCAGGGTGGGGACAGGCCTGGGCTAGCCACCCCTCTCTGGGTAGGGCGCTCCCCATGAGGCCTACCCCCTCAGACTGCCCTCTGGAGCACTCTGGGTGAATGGGTCACAACCTGTACCCTCACCACGTTCTGTGAGAGACAGGCACCTGGGCACTGTCGGGGTAGGTGCTTGGCACAGCAGTTAAGACATCATTTGGGGGGCCGGCACCATGGCGTAGCTGGTAAAGCCGCGCCTGCAGTGCTGGCATTCCTTATGGGTGCCGGTTCGAGTCCCGGCTGTTCCACCTCTGATCCAGCTCTCTGCTGTGGCCTGGGAAAGCAGTGGAAGATGGCCTAAGTCCTTGGGCCCCTGCGCCAGCGTGGGAGACCCGGAGGAAGCTCCTGGCTCCTGGTTTCAGATTGGCCCAGCTCTGGCTGTTGCAGCCATTTGGGGGGTGAACCAGCGATGGAAGACCTCTCTCTCTGTCTCTGCCTCTGCCTCTCTGTAACTCTGACTTTCAAATAAATAAACACATCTTTCAAAAAATAAAAAAGCCATCATTTGGGATGTCCACATGTCCTAGCATACTGGCTGGAGTCAAGGCCCAGCCCTGCATCCCACCAGCTTCCTGCTAATGTGCACCGTGAGAGGCAGCAAGCATCCACACAGGAGACCAACCGAGCTACAGGCTCCTGGCTTCGGCCTGGCCCAGCACCAGCTGTTGAGGGCACCTGGAGCGTAAAAAAGCAGATAGGAGTTCTCTCTCTCTCCCCCTACCCTCTCCCCTTCTTCCCACCCTCCCAAATAAAATAGAAAAATAATAAACAAATGAACAATTTCAAACACCAAAGCTCAGAAAGGCCACTGTACCTGACTGCAGTGGGTGAGATGCAGACTGGGGTCTCCTGACAGGTCCTGCACTCAGTGAGCAGCCACCTCCCCACAGCTGCCTGCGAGGCTCCTCTCTGGAGACGGCAGCCTCTACCCGCCCGTCTGCAGGAGGGCCAGGCCTGGGGGAGCCACGGGTGATCGGTCCTGGGATCTCTGGTGTTGCACCCACACACCTTTCCTACTTCAGTTCTCACAAGAGCCATGCGGGGCTCACCGACGGGGAAGCTGAGAAGCAAGCCTCGCCCAGGACACGGTTAACCTCCACCGTCCTCGCCGCCTGAAACAGCCGCATCCCCGAGATCTGCCCCAGGAACACGCTGAGGACACCACTGGGTGTCCGTGTCATGGACGGCACCTCCTAAACTCTCTCCATCACACCCCTGCAAAGCTCTCAGCGCTGAAGTGCCGGCCCTGGCCCTGAGATCCCTGGGGAGTCAGAGGCTGGGCGGGGTCAAAGGTCTGGGTGTCAGGAAGTGCCTGGGTGCAGGGAGCTGCTGCGGCCCTATCACCCCATTTGCAGCTCCAGATGGTACAGCGATATCCCCCAAGCAGGAAGCAGGGCCAGTCTGGTTATACAAGCCTGATGAGTGATAAGCAGGAGAGACAGAAGCAGACATGCACGAGGCCACAGTGCACGCACCTCCAAGGAGCCTGCAACAGGCATGGCTCCACCCCCACCCAGCCCCAGCTGCTAGCCACGGTACCCACAGGGTGGACTCCCACTCAGACCTCCGATCAGGAAGACCTCACCCTCGCCGGCCCAGAGCCTGCGGCCTGGCCCAGGCAGCCACTGCGTGACAGACCGTGCTGAGCTGTCCCCTCTCCTGCAGCAGCCATAGGAAAGGCGGGGATGGGAGCAGCCTCAAGACAGACAGCCCACATGCACACGCAGCAGCACCAGGACCCAGCAGGCTCAGGCACAGCAGGTCCTTGCCAGCCCAGAGCCTGCTCGGGCCCCGCAGAGGAGGGACGCCCACATCTGCAGAATGGGGCAACCCCCACAACAGGCTCAACCCGAGGGCGAGATGGTCTGAGGACAAGGACGAGGTGGCTCCTCGCTCAACCAGCTCTGACTAGACAGGGCTGGGCTGGCGGAAGGGCAGGACCCCACATGGAATACCTGGGCCGGGACACAGCCGAGGAGTGCGTCGGACAACCGGGTGCCACCACGCAGCCACGTGCCCCTCTTGTGCCTTGGCACAGAACACTGCCCCTACACCGGGCAGCTGGCAGAAGCGGAGTCGTGACCCTCCTGCCACGAGGAAACTGAGACCCAGAGAAACAAGAGACTCGCCTGATACCTGGCTCCCGGCCACTTCCACGCGAGCCTGTGAGCTTCCTGAGAACAAGGCCTGGGACACACCCCTTAGCGTCTGTGCCTGCAGAAGACATCACAGATCTTCATAAATGGGGCAAAGCCACAGGCAGAGCCCAAGCTGCCCCTTCTCCAGGGCTCCTCGGGCAGGAGACCAAGCGTTACCAAGTCGCCGCTGCCCCCGACCATAGACACTGGGCCAGGTCGTTGGGGCGGGTGCGACACCCTTCCCACCTGGCTCCCAAGTTCTGGCAGATGCATTGGGAGGGCCGCAGGGAGGCTGAACCGCAGGTCAGACAATACCAGGGCACAGGACGGCTGTGGGAGCAGCAGGGCGAGCCAAGGTCTGCCACGTCGAGAAAGTCACTTCCTGACACCTCCCGTCCCCAGTCACACACTCACACATCTGCTGTGGACGTGCACTCTGGCCCAGGGCCATCCTTGTCTCCCACCTCCGCCATGGAAGGTCTTGAGGTCGAGGTCCGGCCCAGATGGCTGCTATGGTCTCACGCTGCTAGGCCTGAAGCAGGACCTCTGCACTGGCACACAGGCTCTGCCCGATCGTGCAGAGAGCGTCCAGCTGGCCCCTCCCCACTCACTCGAGGCCAGAGCAGGCGGGCTGTGGAAGCACCCTCGGGAACACAGGCGAGAGCTGGGCGTGGGCCGGCACGGCAGAGGTGCTGGGTGGACAAGGGCGCAGACCCAGGCAGAACAGAAAGGGATGAGGATGGAGGCCTGAGGAACCCAGAGACAGGAGGAGCAGCCTGGGGGCCTCCCTAGCGAGGACCCCTGCTGCTCGGCTCCACACCTGTCCGCCTCCTTGCCTGTCTCACGCCTCTCCTTTCAGAAACTCCCCCCACCCACCCAGCTCACTGCCCATTTCCTCAACCCGCCCAGACAGCCCCTGAGGGAGAGCCCAGTGTCCCCCACGTAGCGTCAAGGGGGCAGGCGGTGGCTGCCGGCCAGGGCTAGAGGAAGGGTGCTGACACACATCTCTGGTGGACACACAGAAGGAACGATGCCCCCTGCACATGCACTGCCCTCCAGCAGCCCACGGCAGTCAAAGCTCATTGCCACGCCTTGTCCCTACAGAACGCCCTCGGGCCAAGTACAGATCCCACCGGGCTTCGTCCCCTGCACCCACCCCTGAGGCCACCCTTGCCTCTGGATGGTGTCACTGCTTTCTTCACTTGGGAGGGGGCCCTGCAACGTTCCTTGAAGATTCCCTGGCAGGACACTCACTGTTGACCTCCTGTGGCTAGGCTGTGGCCAGAGCACGGGCCCAGCACAGCACGAGTCACAGGAAGACTGACCGGGCGCAGGGAGGAGAGAAGAGGATCCCGGCAGGGCCCGTAAACTCCTCCAAAGAGCAGACCCCGAGAACCCCAGGTGGTGCTCCCGCTCCGCAAACCCTCGCCTCCCTTTCCTCAGCCTGGCGGAGCCGATTCTCCACCTTGGAACCCCACCCAAAGCTCCAAGTGGGGGGACCTCCATTCTCCCAGCTCCCCTTCTGCCCTGGAGCTCCCCAGAGGCCTGGGGGCTTGCAGGGGCTTTGGCACCCACCAGGGTCTGGGATCAGCTTCACCTTGCCGCTGTCACAGCGAATCCATCTCGAGAAGACCCATTTGCCAGTGTCCCCACAAAGTCAACACGACACCAAGGAAGCGGTTTCTTCCATGATCTGGGATTCTGCCTGACAAACCCAGTACTATTCCCTCCAACCAGAGCACGGCCACTCTGACCACAGTGGCACCCTCAACCCCGCAGGCCTAGAGGCAGTAGCATGCACTGAACATTCTGCCATCTCTGAGAGGCACCCAGGGTCAGGACAGCAGACACCAGACGAGGTGAGAAACGGGTGTAGCTCCCTCTCCGCCCCCTGGCTGGGGAGCCCCAGTACAGACTCACCTTCCCCATGCATGTGCCCAGGCCCCCGGGGGCACGCCCCACCTGGAGGCAGCCATCCCTGCACGGCCAAGGCCCTCAGCTCGATCCAGGAGATAACTCAGCAGGCAGTGACCCGAGCCCTGCAGGGCAGGCTGACACGGGCCGCCCACACAAGAAACCACAGGCGCCTCGCACAGCTGCTATGCTGAGCAGTGACTGTCACCACTGATTGCAGCCAGGGTCATCGTGCAGTGGAATGACCTGCATCCCCCGTGACACTGCAGGCTGCCAAACATGGATGTCAGCGGCACATCCACGGACTGGCAAGCAGCGTTCTTCCCAAGAAACTCCACTGGGACGCTGGGCCCAGGAGCCAGGATCGGGTCGGGGCAGTGCAGGGACCTGCTCCCTCACTAAGCTCTTCCAAGACCAGAGGTGCAGATTCTCCTTCTGCAGCTGATTTAAACATAAAAGTAATGCACTCGATCAAAGAAAAACGACACAGGAGGAAAATTTTTAAATAGGAATCATCTTTTATTTTGGTCCACAGGTAGTCCCCGTGAGCAATGAGGCACTAGTCCCTCCAGGCAAATGTTTTTAAATTAAATAATTCAATTGAAAGGCAGAGTGACAGAGAGCAGAGAGACAGAGAGAGCGTTCTCTTCCATCCACTGGTTCACTCCCCAAATGGCTACAACAGCCAGGACCAGGCCAGGCAGGCCAAAGCCAGGAGCAAAGACCTCCATTTGAGGGGCCGGCATTGCAACACAGTGGGTTAAATTGCCGCCTGCAATACTGATGTCAGCATCCCACGTGGGCACAGGTTCGAGTCCCAGCTGCTTCACTTCTGCTCTAGACTCTAGATCCCTGCTAACGCGCCTGGGAAAGCAGCAGAAGATGGTCCAAGTCCTTGGGCTCCTGCACTCGCGTGGGAGACTTGACTGTTCCTGGCTCCTGGCTTCCACAAGGCCCAGCCCAGCTGCTGCAGCCATCTGGGGAGTGAACCAGCGGATGGAAGCTCTCCCTCTCTGTCTCTCCCTCCCTCTGTGTATCTCTGCCTCTCAAATAAACACATAAGTCCGTTTGGGTTTTCCACATGGGTGGCGGGGACTGAAGTACTAGAGCCATCATCCACATCCCAGGCACGTCAGCAGGGAGCAGGATCCGACAGGCGCTCCAATACGGAATGCAGGTGACACTGGACACAGGCCGTGGTCTAAACTCATGCAAACAAACACAAATTGTTAATGAAACCACACTGTGCTGTCGGCATTGCAGCCTCCTGCACCTCTGCCTGTCGGTAGCATCTTTCCAGGTCGGCACCCAGGAACGTGGCTCCTGCAGCAATGGCAGTAGACGAACGGCTTCATAAGCCCTGAAATGGACCTTGGGTCGCTGCTGCCCACTGTTTAGTGAACACTTCCGGGCATGGATCTCTGAACAACAGAGTATTTCTGCAGAAAAAAGTTATGGGGTGGAATTGTGGGGCCTTGGGGTTAACATGTGAAAATATTGACAGGTACTGCCAGGTGGCCCTACAAAAACGTTACAGCTTCTACTCTCACAGCAGCGTGAGAATGGCTGTAACCCTCACCAACAGTAAACACTATCAATCGTTTTAATCTTTGCCAATCTGGTAGGCAAAGATGTTTCTGTGCTG